TCCTTCACTTTACGTACTAATAACTTTCAAAGTTCACATGGCAGCTTCCAGTTGGTCCAGTTGGCTTCTCTCAGGAGTGGGAGCCACACATAAAAGAGCCAAACACGACAGCAAGAACTGTGTTGGGAAAGCTTAAATGACACTGTAAGAGACAATGACCAGGAAAACAAATGCTTCAGGAAGAACTTGTTTGCACTAAGTGCATTGACCCCTGTAAAGCGGCACTCAAGCACTGCTACTGCGCTAGAGGCAGGAAGTAGTAAGGATTCATAGTGAATCCAATGGATTTTATGTAAATATACGAGTTACAGTTATGGGGCACAGGTGCACATTTCCTGCTCTGTTCCATGATTTCTGAACAGCCAAGTGCAAGACAACAGTCACGAAGGGGGCTAAAAGACCTAAACATACCAATTTTAATAAAGTCTGTGTTTGCATGGGCTTTTAAGGGGGACTGCAGTCATGGGTCAGGGTGGCAGAGGGTACTACCTAGGTAAAAGCAGGGACCTTTTTGGAAATATTAACATTGATATTTGTACAGTACAGAGGTACTTTAAACTACCATGGACATGAGACGATAGTCTCCAAATTAGCAGCTTGTGGCCAGATGGGGCAACAAAACATAGCCCCAGATGCTGCTGGCTAGCCACAGTGGTGAGGAACAAGGGATCAGTTAAAGTGGAACTACACTGCATCTGACCACCACAAACTGAAAACACTACAATTTATGTTTAATATTCAAAGCAAACTTACCCATCCATCCATGTCTCCGTGCTTTATTTTGCTGAGAAATTACTTTGGAAAACACCCCCCCCCCTTAGAATTTCTGGCCATAGCAGTCCTGTGTAAGAGACGATGATTCGCGTAGAATTTACTTCCTGGAATCCATCTGCCCTTAGGACCAGCCTGCATGTAAGAGGGTGTGCTTAGCTGAGAAAATCACTCCTCCCCTGCGGAAGACTCCTGGGATATATGACGTCACTTATCTAGACCTGGAAATCAGAAAGTAACTGAAGAAATATAAAAAAGCTGTTTAAAACAAGTAAATATGATATATTTTTCTATCTATCCCTGTCAGGAAAGGACTCACCGTTTGTGGTGCTGGGGCTCACCTGCTGTGTGGGCTGCAGTATCAGTTCTCACCAGCAGGTGCTTTTCAGCAGTCAGGATCTCACTCCTGCAATCAAGCCATCACCTGAGGCTGATTGCAGGAGGTGTATTTAAGCAGCACCAGGCCTGCAATCAGTGCCTTGGTGTTTTCCCATGAGCCCTTGTTGTCCTGAACCTGTGTCCTGTCTTCTACCTGCTTAACTCTCCTACTCGATTCTGACCACTACTGAACTCTGCCTTCACCGACCCGGCTCTCCTTTTTGACCATCCGTTTGCCTGCCCCTCTGTGCCATATCTGCCTGATTGTTCCTGACCCGGCCTGCCTGACCACACCACCTCTCCAGCCCTGACTACGCCTGTGTTCCTGAACATATTGATATTAGTTGAAGGTTTGGTTTTTGTTTACTGTGCGTTTTTGTATATTTGTGCAGCTCTTAATAAATTATATTATTATTACATCATTCCTGAAGCCTGCTGTTCCCTGTGTCAGTCCACACATCTCTGGTCATACTTGGATCCCTGACAATCCTGTCCGGACCATGTACATAAATGGCTGGACAGGAGCAATGCAGGAGTGGGTGGCCGTTTATAAATGTCCTCTCGCATTTCCTGCCTGTGCGTGCTCCCTGCGCAGGACCTCTGTATGAGGTCCCAATCATGTGATCAATAACTGGCCAATCAGTGATCACATGAATAGTAGTAAGCAAGATGTCACTTCCTGACATCATTGCTTACTACTTGTGAAATCTGTGAATGATCACCGAGGTCACATTGTACAAGGCTATTCACAACAGCCTTGTACCATGTGACAAGCTGTGACCGATCACAGCTCACACAGTATTTCTCAATGGCTGCAAGAATGCAGCTAGAGAGAAGGAGAAATTATTGCTTTTACAGGCTTTATGGGTATAAAAGCAACCACTGGTACCTTCCACTTCTGCCTCTCCCTTGGCAAATGTGTGGTCAATCTCCAGGCCCAATCAATGATATCTGGGGTAGGCTTGGCGTTCTAAGTCCTGTGTAAGCTCCAACCATATCATCTTGGAGCTTACACAAGGTTTTCGGTGGATAAACATACTGTAGTGGTGGGGGGAGTAAAGCAATGTTGCTCTGCATTGGCAACACACATAATTGCTTAAACACATATTGGATGGGCTGTCTACTACACTCTAATAATGCTGGTAGGTGGTGCATTTTGCGAGTGTCAAGGCCTAAGGTTTCCCATAATAAACAACGAGAGGTTTGACATGCTAGTATGGTACAAATGTGCTAAAGACCAGGGGCGGGCTGACAACTCATGGGGCCCCTGTGTCCTTGCCCAAACTCAAAAAAGCCTATGCAAAAAGGTACCAGAGGCATCTCATGGGGCCCTCTACTAACCCCGGGCCCCCGGGCAGTGCCCGAGTTTCCAAATGGTCAGTCCACCCCTGCTATAGACTGATCTTGAATGAGAACAGAGAAGACAGAAAATGAGCAATGCAGACAGACACTGCGGTCACTGCCTATCTTATGAGAGACAATATGAATTGGGACAAGCTCTTTAACGTTACATAGTTACATAGTTAGTCTGGCTGAAAAAAGACAAAAGTCCATCCAGATCTACCATAGAAAATACGTAAAGTGGAACTCCGCTCTCTCAATCAACACTGACTGACTTTAATCCTTATGCTGCTGGCATTGTTAACCACTTCAAGTCCGGACATTTTTACCCTCTTCCTGTCCAGGACAATTTTTAGCTTTCAGTGCTATCATACTTTGAATGACAATTGCGCGGTCATGCAACACTGTACCCATATGACTTTTTTAGCATTTTTTTGAGACAGATAAAACTTTATTTTGGTGGTATTTATTCACCACTGGGATTTTCTTTTTTTTTTTTTTTGCTATATAAATGAAAAAGTCCAAAAATTTTGAAAAAAAGTGTTTTTCTTATAACATTTGCAAGTAAATAATATTTCTTCATAAATCTTGGCTAAAAATGTATTCAGCTATCGTTTAGTAAAAAAAAACAACCCAAACTAGTTTATAATCAAAAATTATAATTTTTCAAAAATGTTTTTTACATTTTTATTTTTTTTTTTATATTATTATTTATGTGGTTTTTTTTAGCATACTGTCACCCTAGCAGTACAGTGTCTCCATAGTGACACTACTACTTGGGGTGATGAAGGGTTTTTTTTTTTTTTGTTTTTTTTTACACTGATTGCTTTTACACCCATAAAGGCTGTAAACGCAATCATTTCTCCTTCTCTCTGACTGCATTCTTGCAGCCATTGAGAAATACTGTGAGAGCTGTGATTGGTCACAGCTTGTCACATGGTACAAGGCTGTTATGAATAGCCTTGTACCATGTAATCTCTGTGATCATTCACAGATTTCACTAGTAGTAATCAATGATATCCTATCCCTCTTGTATTGAACTGTATTGTTGCTGTATTGTCTCCCGTTATATTGTAAGTGCTGAGCAAACTGTTGGTGCTATATAAATCCTGTATAATAATAAAAAAGACATGCTGGTAGGTTAATTGGCTCCTGTCTAAATTGGCCCTGGTATGTGTATGTATGAATGTGAGTTAGGGACCTGAGATTGTGCGCCCCTTGAGGGTTACGGACTGATGTGAATGTACAATATATATGTGTAAAGCGCTACGTAAAATTGACGGCGCTATATAAGTACCTGAAATAAATAAATAAAATAAATATTGTCAGCAAGTGACATCTTGCTTACTACTATTCATGTGATCACTGATTGACCAATCAGTGATCACATGATTGGGACCTCACGCAGAGGTCCTGTACAGCGATCGGTGTTCCGCTGTGTCCTCCGGACAAAGCAGGCACCTGATCGCGGTGCCACACGGTGCTAGGGAGCGCGCACATGCTGAAAATGCGGCGCCGTCTATGAATGGCAACCCGCTCCTGCACTTCTCCCACCCGGCCGTTTACGTACATGGGCCGGAAGGGAAGTGGTTAAGTGACTTTGAATGTGGCATGGTTGTTGGTGCCAGACGGGCTGGTCTGAGTATTTCAAAAACTGCTGATCTACTGGGATTTTCATGCATAACCATCTCTAGGGTTTACAGAGAATGGTCCAAAAAAAAAAGGAAATATCCAGTGAGCAGCAGTGGACGAAAATGCCTTGTTGAGGTCAGAGGTCAGAGGAGAATGGGCAGACTGGTTCGAGATGATAGAAAGGCAACAGTAATTCATGTCAATATGGACCAATATCTCTGAGAAATGTTTCCAACACCTTGTTGAATCTATGGCATGAAGTATTAAGGCAGTTCTGAAGGCAAAAGGGGGTCCAACCCAGTACTAGCAAGGTAAGTGTATATACACTATGGATAATATAAACAACTACTTTTTCATTATGTAGTAAGAATTGTGTGTTACTAATAATAAACTTCATTCATAAAGCTAGGAATTTATTAGGCATACTGACTACCTGGATTCAGGGTTGTCCAGTCTTAAATGCAAAGCAACAAAATAAAATAAAAGACATAAAGGTCGAGGTATGGAAGAAATGAAGGACAAAAATAATTCAGGTTATAGATCTGTTTGTACAATAGTGCGATTGTGAATAAATGTAGACATGAAACAGCGTGTAATAGACTTCCAAGGTGAGTAATTGGATAGGAAAGTGAGCAAGAAGAATTATTAGGACTCAAAGGTTATATTTGCTTAGTGTTTTCATACCTTTCTTATCAGCAAAGAAGGTAAAGTGAGCTTTTACAAGCCTAGGAGGTGCTGTAGTTCCTGTATATATAAAGAGTTATACACGCAACATTAATATTCCGCACTGCACACCTTGGCCAGGTCCATATTCACTTGCTAGTCAGCAGATAGCCATCATGTCCTTCAGCCAAGTTTCATACAAGAGAATGGGTTCTATGGATAGATCCCCAATTTTGTCTGGAGGAGGTTACAATAAGGTGGTCAGCACAAGATATGCTGGCAGTGTCTATGGTGGTGCTGGAGGATATGGCACCAAAATTTCAACAGCTCCAGGTTTTGGCTTAGGTGGCTACAACAGCAGCCTCCAGATCACCACTAATAGCGATGTCCTGCTTGCTGGAAATGAGAAGGAGACAATGCAGAATCTGAATGACCGCCTGGCAACCTACCTGGATAAAGTACGATCCTTGGAGAAGGCCAACTCTGAGATTGAAGTACGCATCAAGGAATGGCATGGCAAGAATTCCGGTTTTGTGGAACGCGACTACAAAAACTACTACCAAACAATTGAGGGCCTGAAAAATCAGGTAACATAATGACTAAATTCTCCAGCCATGTTGATTTTTAATTTTAAAAAGAAAATAATAATTCACAATAACATCCATTAAGGAACACACCCACTGATCACCTTCCTTTATTTCAACCACAGTAGACATATAACAAGAAACAAAGAAAGTCTTTTCACATTTTACTGTGTTGATTTTGGAATGATGCTGCTAGCTACTGGGTGAAATATATTAATTATTAATTAGCAGAAAATTGTCTAGTGCAGACATCACATTATGTTATGTTTATTTTACAGTTGTTTATTTTACTTTTATCTAGAGAGTCTGGCTTATTTCATTAAGTAGTGCAAAATGTTACGGCTATGTGTAAAGAGTATTAGCCCAAAGCAGCGCTTATCCCAAATTCCCGATTATTGTTCGTATTGGCTGGTTAACTTACATCTGATTGCTTGCTATGGTTTACTGAAAAGTGCACAAAGTTTCGAGTTCTGTAGTGCCTTATTAAAGTAAACCATATCTCCCAACTTTCTGAGCCATGAAGAGGTACAACTTTCAACAAAAAGTATATAAGTAAAGGACACACCCATTCCACACCTCATTTACACGGACCATGAAGAATAGCATGCCCAAAAAAAAGATTTGTTAAACCTACAAGTGATTTTTTTATACCACTTCTTTTTCTTTAAATTGAATTAAAAAAAAATAACAAATGCAATAATATAGAGGCTGGGTGAAAGGTCTAGTGCAATATAACACCTTTGACATTCAAAGAGTACATTTTTATTTACAGAGGTCTATCCATCAGGCTGAAATAAGGGACAACTGAGTCCACTGGGGTAAAACTTTATCAAAGTGAAAGTCAGCAAACTCTAACCCTGAAGATATGTGATGTCACCTTGACAGCAGTCCCCAAAACCCTCATCAGTTGCTGTAGCCCCAATGAAAAATCAAGTATTTTCAGATATGAGGAACACTACTTTATGCCATTCACAATACAGTGCCCAGTCTTTGAGTGGTTAGACTCCAGGACCAAGAGCTATCATATATAACTCAGGAACCTGGTATTTGCATAGGGGTTTTTTTTGTGGACCATGGAAGTGGGCAACATTGTAGGAGCAGGCACAATATGTTTTTCAGCCCTATTCTTTGTTTGGTCTTTTTAACTTTCCTTTGATTTACTGAAATTAAGCCATATAGCTGAATGCAGCTCTTGAACCAAGGGATCTGGTAATTCTTGCAAATACCAGAGGAATGGTTTTGTCAGAAGGACTGAGAGTGCCTATGAGCTACTCTAAGAGTTCACATGGCTGGATGTACTCCATTGTCTCTATTTTAATATAATAGCAGGGTATGCTACAGCTAGCAGTTATCCTAAACCCTTAAGTCATTTAACTGGTTACCATGGTAATTCTTAGAAGTTATTCATGTTCAGGAATGTGTGAACAAATTAACAATTATGTTTTGTTTGATGGTCCTTTTTTATTCCCAGCTTTGCTGTTTTGGTGTTGGATATCTGCTGTAGGTGATGGTTAGATTATAGGGCACAATACACTTGAGCACCTCTTGAAATTAAATCCATGCTGAGGGACCATCACATTTACAGGCAGGTCCTATTTTACATTCCTATTCATTTTACATTTTTATACCTCAGAATGGTCTTTGCTGCTACAGGTTTTACCATTTCAAGCTCAGTATATTTCATACTACGGAGGTATAGACCAGGGGCAGACTGACCATTCGGAAACTCAGGCACTGCCCGAGGGCCCGGGGTCAGTAGGGGGCCCCATGAGATTCCCTTGGTACCTTTTGTAGGCTTTTTTGGGTGTGGTTTGAGTGTGGGCGAGGACACAGGGGCCCCACGATCCCCTATTGCCCGGGGGCCCCATGAGTTGTCAGTCCGCCCCTGCTATAGACTACAAATTACAATGTACAATCAGTGTGATGCTGTCCATAAGACCACTTATGGTAGCATGGTGGATGAAGGCACTGGGACCACGATGTACATATTGGACACTCCATCCTCAGTGCTTGTTCAGACCTGTGTATATTAAGCCCCCAGGCTGCATAGTGCAATCAGTTGGCATTATTATTATTATATAGGGTTTATATTGTTTGCACAGCCTTGGTATAGTTCAGGCCGCTACAACGAATGCACAACATTCTAGCATACAACAACATTGGGGCGGATGCAGGGGCGGACTGACTATTGGGGAACTCGGGCACTGCCGGTCAGTAGGGGGCCCCATGAGATGTCCCTGGTACCTTTCATAGGCTTTTTTGGGTGTGGTTTGAGTGTGGGCAAGGACACAAGGGCCCCATGATCCCCTATTGCCCAGGGGCCCCATGTGTTGTCAGTCCGCCCCTGGACGGATGGCAAAAATGGGCTCCTAGGACAGAATCCACCCCTCAGTATAGCCCTGTGTACAATGCATAGTTTTTGTGGTACCTGGTGTCCTTATGTAGGATTACATAGGCATTAAAAGATACAATGTTAAAGGTTTATATTTATAGACATGGCAAAGCGCTACGCCCCACAGCAACCAATTCAATTTCATCTTCTATATACTCCATGTAATCATACAGCTGAACAATGCAAGCTGATTGGTTGCCTTGGGTTACTGAATATTTCACACTGCTCTTTCCCTGATAGCCTTATTTGCCTGATAGTGGAGCAATAATGATTACTGATCAATAATGATGACCCAGAGCAGTCAATCACAGGTAAACTTTTATTTGACAATACAGCAAGTAACTGATATCTAGTTGAATCCCATTAATTACTATTCTTTACAAAAAATAATGTTTATGGATGCGCAACACCAGTTTTGACTAATAGGTTCTGCGCACAGTCAAAATGGAGAAAAAAATCTGTATTGCCCATAGCATCTAGTCATGTGCAGTTGCAATTATCTAATAAAACAAAGATCCTAATGGCTGTCAATGCCAACACCCATTTTTTTCTCTTTTTAATACAGCTGTAGAGTATTAGACACGTGAGAGCACCACACAGGTAGGATAAGTCCAGTAAACAGCATTATTTGTCACACCACATTAGAAAAAAAAAATGTGTTTTAGGTCATTATATTGATGCCAGATTGATGTGCTATTCTTTCTACCTCTACAAGCATTATCCAGTACAGATTTGAACTCTACTATCCATATACAACCCTGAAGAAAGGGCAATTTTGAGCCCAAAAAATGTTTTATGTGTCATGACAAATAAAGCTCCTTACCTAACCTAGCTACTTGTGTTTCACTCTCGCCCTCCAAATACTCTACAGGCCACTCTAGGGTTCCTTGCAATAACCCAGTTGACAAAGAGCAGTCTCCAAAAAGGTCAGTTAACCACTGATACCCATTCACCATGATGTCCAGTACTTTTCCAATACAGTTGAAATGTGTTTGGCATACTCATTTAATTGGAGGCTCCATATTATGTAATATCACTCATTCAGTAGGTCTGTGGGGAAGAGCAACCAATCAAAAACACCCATTAAACGCAACTGAATGTAAACTGAAATCTTGGAAATTATCATTAATTTTCTTTTTATTACCTTATTAAGTCAGCTGGAAATGCAAGAATAACATTTTATAACTTAAGGTTTGGCTTAGTTATTTATTGCTCCTATAAATTTATGGCAGGAATATTTTGGACTGTTCAAACAATCTGTGCACCATAAACATGAATATTTGCTGATCAAAAATATTGGCAATGCCAGTAAATACCAAGTAAAGGAATTACCGATGGTGATTGGGTTTATTTGATTTCAAAATAGTTATATTACATTTGTTATATGCTATGTTTATTATTATTTATTATGGTATGCTTTGGTTATTTTTTTATACATTTGCAGCGTATTACATGCTGACATAGAATTCAAAAAGTCAGGGGGAAAAAAGTAATACGCAATACCTGATGAAGAGAACTAAATATTCTTGAAAGCTTGAACAATAAAACATTTTGAGTTAGTCAATGAAACGTATCATCTGTACTTTTACTTTCCTGTTACTATTTATGGCTAACGCAGTACAATACTTGCGTGTAGCAAGCTGATCTCTGATTGGCTACTACACATTTGTTCTGCATTTTACTACATAAACCTTGTAATATCATTTACACAGAACTTGTGGGAGGTGGGAGATATCCATTGCCTTCATGCAATTTTTATATAAGTGCACATAATAGAGGGGAGTCTACCTTTCAAGGTCCAGGTTGGAATGTATGGTGACATCATCCTAGGAGTAATGTGATGTCACCCAACACCTAGGCTCTGTCCCTCTTTAAAGGTTAGTTTGCAAGGGTTTATGCCACTTATTGCTTATCACTATAGGGATCTGTCAGATGGGACTGTGGTGACAATTTTGAAAGTCAATGCAATTCCAAGCTACCAGTTGACTGTAGTTCCAACGGGCTTATATCAAGCATGTCAGACTGATAGATTTGGTACTGAATTAGCCTTTTTATACCTTGCTTGTTACCCTTGAAGTAGAGCTAAAGGCCAATCTTTAATTAATTGTGGATAAAGTTAAGAAGGATTATAATCCCTGTCATTTTTTACCATCTGTATCCTATTGGGGAGATTTCCTTTTGCTCCGTGTCTCATAGCCAAAGCAGGAAGGAAAGGAAATCGACTCAAAGCAAATCCCTGTTTGTCACCAGGGTCACCACAACTTGTGTCCCTATTGGAAGATTTTTCCTCTATTACTGTTCTAGTAACAACCCATAATTTGTAATTTTTTCACTTTCACTCTTGGTAATAATGGTAAGCATGCTAAATATGGAGGGAGGGTGAATATACCTAATGGGGGTACAGACAGCAATAAAAATCTGGCAGGTACTCCTATCACTCCCTGCTCTATCCAAACCTAGAAAAAATTATACAAAAAGGTATAATTTAATTTAAAGAGTACGTAAATCCTAGCAATAAACCTCTGCTATTAGCTCCTTTTTTGATTGGTTCATGTAACTTGATTTTTTCAGAAATTCATAGCTGTTCAGTGTCCTGCAAACTCTGCTATTT